AGCCCTCATTCTCTTTCTTAATGGAAATAAATACAAAATATTTTGCTAACATTGGTAAAAATCTATTCTGATTTCCATGGGTTATATGCATAAAAACAATTTGATGTTATACAGAAAAACTGCCTTACTTCATAGAGGCATGTGAACACCTTCACTGAACCATGTGACAAAACTGTTAATTAGAAGCTATGAACAGTAAATGGAAGAGTTTTGAAGGTTTTTCGGACTAACAAAACTTAAAAGAAATTTTCCTATCAAGATGAATCTATAACACACACATCGGAACTAAAAAGCACATTAATTTTGGAAAATATATTTTAACTTCTTTTAAAGGTCAACAAAAATTTCTAGTAAGGAATAGCCCTTTATTACAAAACATATTTTCTGCAAAAATGGATTTTCCAATGATGCTGAAATTTTATCTATTTTCTGATGTTGAAATTTTAAACATCTAGATCAAACTCCTCTTTCTCTATTTCCAAAATCCAAAAAGCTCCTCTGAAATTTCCCCCAAATTATTAATAAAATTTGTGAGATTTTAAGCTTCTCTTTCAACAGCTAATAAACAATATAGAGTAACAGATATATAAGGTTTTTTGAATACTAGCTCAATTATATTTTTACCTCAAAGCTCGTCCCATAGTTTCATAGTTCATGTCTGGCTTATTCTTATGCTTTCCCCAAAGCTTAGAGACAGCCTTTGAATCCACCAGCTTGAAAATGCCTTTTTCTCTTTGAGTCCACTTAATATACCGGGGACAAGTATTTTTATCTTGAAGTAGGTCTAAAAGAAACTCCCACAAATAGGTTGTGTTTCCTTTAAAAACAATAACAGACATTGATTTAAAATCATTAGCATAATTAAATATATAATTAAAACCAAATAAAGTGTCCTTCATTATAAATATTCTAAATATACTCATTGGCTAGTTTTAAAAAAGGGTATCCCCTAAGCATATTTACAGTTATAATGCTAATGTAATAAAGGTATTGAACAGTGCACGCTTACATACCACCCTACCCTAGATTGTGAGTTTAGTAAAGGCAAAAGCATAATGCTTATTAGCACAAAGTTAATCTTAAGAGATGATTAGGTTCCCAATAGAAAAAAAAATTAATCTGAATTAAATAGAATATTTATTAATATGCATAGATTTACACTCTTAATAAATTTACTTGCACTTATATTTATTACTTGGTAAGTCTAAATTCCAGAATCAGAATTCATCAAAAGGCACTTAAATAGGCAAACAATACGCAATGCAATGTGTAAAACTTTGAGGCATCAGTCGTAGGATCTTTTTCTTTATTTTGGAGACAGAGTCTCACTATGCGGCCCTCAGTAGAGTGCCGTGGTCACAGCTCACAGCAACCTCAAATTCTTAGGCTTAAGCAATTCTCTTGCCTCAGCCTCCCAAGTAGCTGGGACTACAGACGTACGTGCACTCGCCACAACACCCAGCTATTTTTCTGTTACAGTTGTCATTGTTATTTAGCTAGCCCGAGCCGGGCCTGAACCCACCAGCCTGGAGTATGTGGCCAGGGCCCTACCCACTGAGCTACAGGCGCCACCCCGTAGGATCTTTTGTAGGGAATGTATTTTTCTGGGATTTACCTATAGGCATAAACTCTGAGGTATGTGTCACATATAGCGCAAAGTTATCTTGAGCAACTTTTAAGCATTATTTTTAGACAGAGTCTCAAGCTGTCACGCCATGGTGTCACAGCAATGCCCGGCTATTTTTTTGTTGCAGTTGTCACAAAAACACACCAGCCTGAGTACTGTGGCTGTAGCCATAAACACTGTGCTACAGGTGCCGAGCCCCTTTAAGTATTCTTTCTATCATTTTCCTCTGAACTAATAGTGGATTTAGACCTGGTATCAATGAAAGCTACTACCTCTAAAAACAGATATTTTATTTATTTATTTATTTATTTGGGACAGAGTCTCACTATGTTGCTCTTGGTAGAATGCTATGGTGTCACAGATGACAGCAACCTCTTGGGCTTAAGTGATTCTCTTGCCTCAGCCTCCCAAGTAGCTGGGACTACAGGCTCCTGCCACAACCCCCGGCTATATTTTTGTTGCAGTTGTTTAGCTGGCCCCAGGTAGGTTTGAACCTGCCACCCTCGGTGTATGTGGCTGGCACTGTAACGACTGTGCTATGGACACTGAGCCATAAAACCGTATTTTTATTAAAAACTTAAAAAAATTTTAATAAAAAAATGTATAATCTCTATTATTACACCTGATATAGTGAAATAATACATTAAAAGAATTTCAATATATATATGAACTCAATTATTAAGACATTTATGCTTCAGTCTTAAAATATAACTCCTTACCACTCTGAGAGGGCAAGGAGGGTGGAATGCCTAAGCTCACAGGTTCAAGACCAGCCTGAGCCAGGGCAAGACGCCGCCTCTAAAAATAGCTGGAAGCTGTGGTGAGCACCTGTACTCCCAACTACTGGGGAGGCTGAGGCAAGATAATCTCTTAAGCCTAAGACTTAGAGGTTCCTATGAGCTATAGCGCCATAGCACTCTACCCAGGGTGACAAAGTGAAACTCTGTCTCAAAAGAGTAAAAAAATAACCTCCTTAAATGGAAACACTAAAAAGTAATGTAGTAATTCCTTAAACTAGTCAAGTACTCATCAAATGTTAACTACGACATTAGTAGTTACTGTAGCAGTATACTGTACTACTAGCAAAATTTGAAAATACTATTTCTTCAAAATAAAATACGTATTCATCACATGCTATGCTTAAGTGTAGTAGAGGAAACATAAGTAAAATCTGGTCCCTGCCCCGAGGCATTCATAATATAATTAGGAAGGAAAAATAAGCAGACAACAAAGTAAACATTAAAAGAAATAAACAGCAGTTTGAAACAATATAAGATATAAACAATGCACAACTATATTCCAAATGAATTATGGAAAGTATTGTGTATGGAATTTCAGGAGTGAAAATAAAGTAGACTGCCAAGACATGAAGTCTTAGAAAAGGGTTAAGCTTTGTATACATAAAAGGAAGGAATCTGGGCAAGTAAAATAAGGAATTTAATCCTAAAGAATAGAAAGGATCGGCTCAGC